AACTCATCAAACAGATCTTCAATAACAGGTATGGGGAATTTGTTTTTAATAGTTTGAGCATTGAGTTTTCTATAGTCTATGCAGAGTCGCCAAGTTCCATCTTTTTTCTTGACCAAGATTGCAGGAGCTGCATAAGGGCTTTCACTTTGTCTGATGACAGAGGCATCTAGTAACTCTCTTATCTATTTTTCTACCTCAGTTTTCTGTTGATGGGGCACTCTGTAGGGTCTCACCCTAGGAGGATCAGTACCAGGTTTTAATGGGATGGCATGGTCACATTCCCTGAGAGGCGGCATGCCTTTGGGTTCCTCAAAAACATCCTGGTGCTTGTGTAATAAATCTTCTGTTTCCTGGCAAGGTTGGCTTGGTTCTGACTTTACTGAAGATGTGGGGAATAAACAGTAACTAGATGCCCCTGTAGCAGATAGCTTTTGCATTCTGTTAACAGAGATGAGAGGAATTTGTTCTTTCCTATTGTTGTCCTTTAGAGTCACCTTGATGTTGTTTCTTAGGATGACTTGCATTTTCCTTTTGACAAAATCCATTGTGATTGGACTATGTTTTGCAAGCCAGTCGCAACCAAGTATGATTTCATACCCTTTGAGTTGTAAGACCTTGAAAGAGTTATTAAAGGTGTGACCTTGTATGGTGTAAGGAGTGTCCACCACATGGGATCCTGATTTCAGAATTCCTCCACCAGCTACTTGCACTATTTCCAAAGGGTTGTTGATGGTTTGGCAGCTGGTTTTAACTGTGAAGCTCATGTCGATGAATGTGTGGGAGCTTCCAGAGTTCACTAGGGCTATACCACATTTGCCACCAATGTTTACTTTGAGAGAAAATGTAGAAGCAGCAGGTTTCTTTCCCAGAGCTTGTAGAGAAATTTGCATGCATTGCTCCTCTTCAGTGGGGGAGGTGGCAGGGATTTTAGTTTCCTCAGCAGAGTCACTACTTTGGAGTGTCTCATCAGGGCTGGTGTCGTTGCTCTCTTCAGTTGCCATTAAGTTTAGGGTCTTGTATTACACACATTTGTGCCCAAAAAAACATTTGCCTCCATAGTACCTGCATGTGTCAGGCTCTTTGTATTTATTTTCCACCTGTTGTTGTTTCTTGTCTCGCCATCTTTATTTGGAATTGTCTCCGGTTGTTTGAATTTGGTGGGAGTTGGGGTAGGGGAGGTGCTTTTCTGATAGACATTGTTTATACTGTATCTCATATGCTGTGTTTGAGCCTGAACCCCTAGTTCCATGTCCCTGGTATTGTCCACAGCATCATAGAGAGTTGTTGGTTTGAAAGGCTTCAGATAGTGTTTGATCTCCGGCCTTAACCCGTTGATGTAGCACTTGACATAGTAACTTTCACGAGCTCCGGGGTTTTCCTTCTTGTAAGCAGCCATTTTCTCATCAAATTTATATGTATACTCTGCCACTGATCCAGTTCCCTGCTTGAATGAATTGAAATTTTCCACTACCTCATAAGAACTATTCCTAGAGAACCTTTTAAGGACAGCAGAGCAAAATTGCTCCCAAGTTAAGTTCTCCATTAAGATGCCAGAGTTTCTGAGCCAAGTGTCTGCTCTGCCTGTTAGATACATTTGGGCATAGTCCCACTTTGCTTCTTCAGGCACATACACCATGGAGAAAAATTTCTCAGTCATCCTTAACCACTCCATTGGGTTAGAGCCATCAAACCTAGGGAAATCCCGTTTTGGTGCTTTGGCTATGGATCGATAAAACTGAGTATCTCTGTCTTGTCCTCTCCCATAGTCAAAATTTCTACTTTGCCCTGGTGTTTGTTGGGTGTACTGATTTTCAGTGTTTTGTGGATATGCAGGCCCTTGTAGATATTGCACTTCACGTGGCCAATAATGATGATAATACTCGAAAGGAGCTTGTACAGGTGGTAAATATCGTGGAGGTGGGGTGGTGGTGGCCTAGGGGCTTGGTATTGGTGGTTTGTGTTGTAGTTCCACTGGCCGAACTGCTCCTGGTACTCTTGTTGTTGTTGGTAAAACGCACCTTTAGTATACGGGTACTGCTCAAACTGAAATTGTTGAACATTGTGTTGCGCTCCCTGTGCAGGCCAACCCTGTGGGGCTTGTTGATACTAGACATGCCCTGCTTGAACATTGGTCTGTGTTACATTTGCCATCCAATCTTGTGGGGCTTGTTGGTATTGGCCAGGCCCTTCCTCCCTACGCCTCCAGACTGGTACTCCTCTGTCTAAGAGGGGGAATCTGCTTGTTTGAGGTAAGGTAGCTGGATCTTGCTGGTCATTGGAAATGGGTGGTGGTTGGGGTGGAGGTGGTTGCTTTTGAGTTTGCCGGTGCTGATGAGGAGGCGAGCGTTGGGATGGTTGCTGGTTCTGCTGCCACCTTCGCTAGTCGTCTCCACTCTTTCCCGCGATGAAGACTTAAGTTGTTCCGTCATGCTGGTCATTAGTTCTTCCAGACGCGTCAACAGGGTCTTGATGCCGGTGACCTCTGTACGTACGCCCTCGACCTCGGTGTGGATCTGGTCGACCTTGTCATCTAGTTGTTCCACATCGAGCTTGAGCGCTGCCACCTCTGTGGCATCCGCCTTGTCTTCCCCCTTCGACTTCACCATCTGGATTGAGACCAACTACCGGAATTTTACCGCAAGGACGAGCCTTGGAACCCTCGTTGGATCTCGAACCCTGCCGCCGCCGGAGCTCCGCGCCACCGCTAGTGCACCAACAGGCTTGGGTCACGGGATTTTACCTTTGGGAGTGGGATCTCGCCGAAAACCGCACCTCAACTACCCGTTTGCACTTGAACTGTCTATCGCCGCCTGCGTCGCCCGGGTCCAACTCCGCCGCCGCGCCGCCGAGGACCGCTTGCTCTGATACCAATTGTCAGATCCCGACAAGGATCGGACGAAACAATCGATAGAATTACTAAATCTGAACGAACAGATAAGCTCCCGATAGCAGAGACCCGTCTATGAGTGGGGATTTTCTACGGTAGCTAAGATGAACTAGGGTTTACAAGAATTGTTTTACAATAATTGGATGCCTCCCCTCGCACTCGCAGGCGCTATAAGAAGCTGAACCCAGCTGGAAAGCATGGTAAAAGGACACGATAAACAGAGGCAGCTAGGTAACTGACGAAGTACAGCGACTTTCAGGCGCCCGGTATCCACCGTCCATCTCCAGGGCGTCCCTTGACCGTTGGATCTTCTTAACTGTAGCTGAACCAGCACTCTGTCGTAACTGAATATAAGAACAGCTGCAGAATACAGCATCAGGCGCTGACATCACGGCTGAGAGGCTCCAGAATTGTCAACCATCTTCCGTTGCAAAAGAAACTCTTGGTGCACCATCTCTCATATGAGACCGGAGCCGCAACACTAGCCACCTCCAACACAAACACTTCCGACTCCGCGTGGCGCTGAGGAACAGCCGACGTGACGTGAAAAAGCCAAAGAGGATCCCGGCAAGACCTCCACCGGCATCTTGAAGACGTTTCCTGGGTACAAATCCACGGCTCCTCGATGCCGTGGTAGAACGCCATCGAGGCGGTGGCCCAGAAACTTTCATTCGTGATGACGACATCATCACCAACCGAGCACCGACACCCCACAAAACCAATCCTATACCTAGACATTAGAGAGAAGGAACTGGGCTCCCTCGCCCTACCGCCGTCGCTGGAGCGGCGAGCGGAGGGAAGGGGAGCCAGTGGCTTCAGCAGCATAGGAACAGGAACCGCTTGCCTCTATATCGCCTGGGAGGGAGAGACAGAGCCGAAAACCGTTGTGGAGGAGTTGCGGTTGCTTCGGTAAAATGATTCACAGTTACTATGACTTATGAGAGTGTTTTATTCCACGCATTAGAAGCATAAAATTCCGGAAATGTTAACGCCCACACGTGTGGGCGTTGACCATCTCGACCACACGTATCCATCACCGTCCAGTACTATATGCACAAATTTTGGCACAATCTGGCTGATTTTCTGTGCCACGTAGGACAAGGCGTGTGTGTGGTGTGTGACATAGTTCGCCCACACATCCGTTTGACCATACGGAGGGGCCGGTGTGTGGGCGTTTAGCAGTTCACCCACACATCAGTTTTCAATCACGCACAAGGGCTGATGTGTGGGCATTTGCCATCTCGCCCACACGCCCGTCTCCTCTCCCACACCCCAGCTGCTAGTTCCCATGTGTTTTTGCAGCGCACATGGCAACCGCCCCTAGTGTGCTTTATAAGCAGGTGGCAACTCTCTTTTTTTACCCGAGTTGACATGTGTTTTTGCAGGGTACACGACAACTACCTAGTGTGCACGTAAGCAGATGGCAACCCTCTTTTACCGAGTTGCCATGTGTTTTTGCATGGTACATGTCAACTGCCCCAATGTGCACGTATATGGCAACTGCCCTAACGTGCACGTTAGCAGATGTCAACTCTTCCTTTTTACATGGCAACTGCCCTAGCATGCTTGTGAGCACATGGCAACTCTCTCAACTGCCTAGTGTTAGTATGTGGCAACTCCTAAAGTTATGAAATCATGGCAACTACATTAGATCAGATCATACATGGCAACTGCAGTTGAGCAACCATAGCAACTGCAGTTGTCCGACATGGCAACCGTAGTTCAGCGACATGGCAACTGCAGTTAAACGAACATGGACGAGGGTCAGGACCATGGCAACTGCGGGCGCGCGGTGGGCGTCACGCGTCGCGTGCGGGACCAGAAGGGTACGAGGCCTGACATACAGGCGTGTGGGCATTATCAACTTCGCCCACACGCACGAGTGTGAGAGGGTTCGGGAGGGGAAAAAAGATGTGTGTGGACATTAGTTGTTTTGCCCACACGTAGGTGTGTGGGCTGGTTGCTGTCCATGCCGCACGAGGCGTGTGGCATAACTACCCGATACACCACACGTGTGGCAGTTATCGGGACCCTAAAATTCCAGATACACGCGGAGTAGAACAGAGTACTAGTACAACACCAAACACACTAGTACCAGCGCCTGACGTCTGGTCTACTGCTGGTTCGCGCCGGCGGCGAGGAGCGCGGCCAGCCGGTCCATGAGAACCAGCGCCGTCGCGCTCGGGGGCTCCCGGAGGAAGAACTGGTGGTCCTCGCCGATGGAGTCGAGCAGCTCAACGTCGCCCTCCGCCCACCCGCTCCCCAGCAGTCCGTCGTGGTACGCCTTGCCCCGGAGCCGCAGCTCGTCCTCGGCGACGCAGACGAGGACGCGGTCGCAACCGAGCCGCCGCAAGCTCGGCGCCCCGTCGGCCACCGGGTTGACCCGCGGGTCGTCCAGCCCGGCGGTGCGGCCGCCGCACGCGAACGGCCACAGCTCCTCCAGCTTGCCCCTCAGCCACGACTGCTCCGTCTCGCCGTCGGCCTTCTCGGCCGAGAGGAAGTATGGGTGCAGGAGCCCGATGCCCCTGACCCTGGCGCCGCGGGGGAGCGCGCCGGCCTCCGAGCCCGCGCGGAGCGCCACGTTGTGGGCAACGTTGCCGCCGGCGCTGTACCCGACCACGAACATCCAGCCGCGGTCGCCGCGGTCCCGGAGCCACGGGTCGGCGCCCTCGGCGGCCCACCGGAGCGCGGCCCACGCGTCGTCGTAGCAGGCCGGGACGGGGTGCTCCGGCGCGAGGCGGTACTCGACGGACACGACCAGGACGCGCGCGCGGGCGCACAGGCGGTTGAGGAACGCGTGCTCGGGCCCGTCCGCGGCCGAGCCGCCGACGAGGCCGCCTCCATGGAGGTACACCATGATGGGGAGCCTGTCGCCCGCGCCGCCGGGAGGGCGCGCGGGGAGGTAGAGGCGGGCCCACGCGCCGGTGGCCGGGTCGAAGACGACGTCCCTGGAGGCGACTCCGGTGGCGGCGTCGACGGAGGGCGGGACGGGGTCTACGGGGAGCAGGCGCTCGACGCGGCCGCTCCTGTACTGCCGGATCACCGGCACGAACTCGAACGTGACCTCGGATTCAGGGTCCATCTGACGGGCGAAACGATGCGGCAAGGAATCAAGGATGGCGCGGCGGGCGGCTATGGCAGCGGAGGAGTGAGCTTCTTGGAAGATGAATATGGGCGACGGCGAAGCATCGGCGAATGGGACACGGCGGGGAGTGCGCGGAGGAGATGCTCCCGATAGCCCTGTGCTCCCCGCCGTAGTAAATAAACGAGAAAAAAATGGCTCCGTGCTTGCCGCCGTTCTTCTAGCCCTGTACCGTGTGCCGGTCAAACGGTTGAACCGAGATCTGATCGCGAACAAAGCAGCTGAGCTATGCAAATTTGGTGTCAAAGCAAGGAGATAACACGTCTCATGTGGCGCAGTTGTAGGGTGGGTAGCCAGGCATAACTACCTATTAGAAAAACGGATTACAAACAGTATGCACATGATCACCATAAAAAGCGTACATACATAGATTTTTCTTGAGGATAACATCTATACGTAGATGTCTTGTAATATCTTCATAAATTTCAAGATGATGTGCCGGCTCAGTCTTTTCGGAGGTGCTCGTAGAGATAAGATGTGCGTGTGTGCATTTATAGAGGTGAGTGTATACATATGCATATAAGCGCTTGCGTCTATACTGTGTTAAAAAAAGAAGATGTTTTATAATATCGTATCAAAAACTTTACAAGAAGTAAAACTAGAAATTCACTTTGGAAGAAACACAGTCCATCATCGCCTTCACTATCACCAAACAACATCATCGAAAGAGAGAAACTACGGCCATACTCATATACACATGAGCACCTTCGCATACAAACACTATTAGGAAAAACCTTATACACAGAATCTTACCAACAGCGCTTCTCAAAATACAATGCTACTGCTATTTAGCAGCAGCGCGTGCAAGCAAAACGCGCTGCTGAAAAAAAAATAGCAGTAGCGCGTCCCCTCTAAACCGCGTTACTGCTCTAATTGCCATGACCTCGCCGTCCAGCTAGTTATAGCAGTAGCGCCCTATAATGAATCGTGCTACTGCTATAAATGTTAGCAGCAGCGCACTTCCGCAAAAATCGCTACTGCTAAGTTCAGCCCACAAGTTTAGTCCCACCTCGCTCCGCGGACAGGGTGTTTAGCACCTTAAATATGTTACTTCTGAAACTATCAAGACCAGTTGGTCTTCACTGAAATCTATGTGTAGAATTTGTGGCCGCAATATGAGTCATCTCCGGTAGTCCTCTCCGGTTCCTACCGGAGAGGACTCATATTGACAATTCAGATTGTACACAAAAAGATCATTGACGGCCAATGTATTTTTGTATTGACACACAATATATTTTTGCATGCTTACACTTAACAGTACTACTAAAAGCGCTACTGCTAGTCCAACTTAGCAGTAGCGTGCAACCCCGCACAGCGCTACTGCTATTCTCATTAGCTATAGCGTGTTTTGGTACACGCGCTACTACTAACCCTACCTTATCCCCACGCGCGCGGCCGACCCTCTCTCTCACTCACTCTTCCCCTCTCAGTTACTCTCGCCCGCGCCGATAACCATCGTCGTGCGTCGCCGCCGCCGCCGTCGTCCGTCCGCCACCGAGGTACTCTCTCCTTTCGTCCCTCCTCCTCCCACAGTGCCCTCCCCCCTCCTGCTCCCACCGCGCCCTCCTCCCTCCGCCTGCGGCCGCCCCTCCTCCCTCCTTCGTCGGCAGCCCTCCTCCCACCGCCCCTCCCTCCGCCTCCTCCCATCGCC